CTTGACCCTCCAGCAGATCAAGACATCAGCCCAAGTTAGTGTTGTCTGCCAACTTTCTATGGGTATCAAGAATCACTGTGCTTGCAGGCAGCCCATTGTTCTTACCAGACGTACCTGGAATGAGGGGAGAAAATTGTAGGCCTTTAACTATGTATGGTGAGGTCAAGAAGGATGGATGGAGGAGTTGCCATTTTGCAAAAGAAGAGCTGGTCTGTGCAGCTGGGTTCTAGCAAGGGTTTTGCAGGGATTACCCTTAAGTGGAAGGGAGTGCATCACGTTCTCCCATCACGCTGCTGAAATGCTATTTTAAGGACCTGCACGGTTGTGACTGGCCCAGGAAGGACTAAATTGCTGTCGGTGGCTGAGGAAAGGTGGAGCTGTGTGTACCTGAGGTGGTTAACCTGTTCTCCTCCCTGCCCAGCATCCACCTCTGCATCACACAGTTGCACACAAAGCCCGGGGTCGCCCAGCAGTTCCTGAAGGACGTCAGAGACAGCATTGCAGATATCATGAAGGACCTCAACGCCAAGACCACGGGCATGGTGAGGAGGGCAGGGTCTGGTGAGACTGTTTGGGGTGAACATGTTTCTCTGATGGCTTTAACAATCCAACCTCCTCTTCTCTGCCTAGGGAGCCATCTATGGAATGGCCCAGTCCGTCCCAGACAGGAGCCTGGTGGCGGAGATTTCGCAGGCGTACTTGGACGGCCTCTACAGCACGGATGTGCCATGCAGTGAAAAGCACATGAACGGCTCTCCTGGCCACCACTGACTGTAGGGCAACATCTGGTGCCTTGCCAGCTGGCGCTGGGGTGGTTCTAAAGGTTTCCTAGGGGAAGAGATTGCAGTAAGCCTTTGTTCCTACAGTTGCAGGTCTGACGGCGGCTTGGTCTTGGAAACGTCCTTCCCCGTCTCAGTCTGTTCTGAAATCCGCAATATTTTCACACCCAACTTCAGTTTTAGGGCTTCTCTTCTTTTTCCCCTGCCTGTTTTCATCACGACTGTTGACGGTGAACTGAATGTCCATTCCACAACTCCAGATTCCTCAGGTATTCTGCATCTCATTTCATTCCTTGCTGTTTCTTCTCTTCAGACCTGGTATTCAGCTGGTGTCCAGCCAAGTGTTAGATATGAGTTCTCACGTTGCGTTGCAAAGCTTCAATCTTCCTAGAAGCTGAAGGCTGAAAATAAATTGAATATTTTGTTTTCTTTTGAGTATTCCTCCAAACTGCTGCATTTAACGCTGGGAGCCTTACATCTGTGTAGGGCAGAGGTGATAAATTGGCAAAGGAAAGATGATCCTGTACTCTTTTTGAAATCCCCTCTGGAGCTCTCAGTGAGACTGCAATTGGTGTCTGCTGAAGGGGCAAAAAAACCCCACCAAACCAACACAAAATCCTTTTCTGGAATCTCTTGGTTTGAATACAGCAGAAAAAAAACCCCAAGCGGGTGGCGTAGGGAGAGGAGCTGGATGGTACTGAAAAACCTAGGTACATAGTAACTGTTTTGCTTCCCTCCTCTTCTAGAAGACATTCATTTACCACCTAGAGTATGTTCATTGTAACTTGCACAGCTCTGAATCTTGAAGGTTTTGCACTAGCTCTCAATGTTGTGGTGGAGTGAGCCAGGCCCTGGCCCACGCCACGGGACTTCACGTGCAAGCGGCTGGCTCCAAAGCTGGCCTTTCTTTTTTTTTTTTACCATGATCTTTTAGTATAAAAAGGTGACTTTTATAATAGTAGCAATCTCTGCTCTTTGCACTGATTCTTTATAAGGCACATTCTCTAAAGGGCATTCACCATTGTGCCTTGATGCTTCTCTGGCTTCTTTTTTTTGTAGGACGCCAGGGAGGATTTGAGGGTTCGGCTTTTGGCCGCGGTCTTTGCCGCGATTGTTTCCTCACGGTACTCTACTGAAAAAACAAAATCCAACCTCAAAGGCAAACTGGCCTCAGAGAAAGTCTGTAAGCTTATAGGAGTAATTCTATTGAGCCAAGTCCCTTCACAGTATTACAGAGGTGCTAGTATAGCACCAAGAGGTCCATTGCAGGATGCAGCAAGTCAGAGGTAGTCAAGCCTTGGGCATGTAACTCACCCTTCCTGCTTTTCTCTGCTGTTTCTGAGAGAGTGTTCCCAGCATGATGTGTGAGGCAGTTGTGGCCTTAAGGACAAGCTTGAATCTCTTGAGTTATTCAACAGTGGTGGGGTTGCTCCTTCAGGGCTTTCCCTTGTGTTCCCTCTCAGCTTTTTGCATGCTACCGAGAGTTTCCCAGGTAGAGTTTAACGCCTGGGAGAAGACTTTGTGCCACATCTGCAGAGTGTTGTGCAGAACATCTGAAGGCATCTGTCTCTGTGCTGTAGTGGGCTTGTTATATCAAAGCTGCCCTGAGCTGGCTTCATGCAGCTGAAGCACATGCTTGCAGAGTGATCATTACACTAAATGAGGTTTCTTACCAACCACTGCACAAACCAGGGCAGCCTTGGGCCCAGTGGTTGTGGGAAGGATACTTGCTTTTTAACAGGTTTATTCTCGGTGCTAGGAGACAAAAGTATTTTGGCCATCTCCCCTTAAATTGTTAACCTAGTCTCTGAGATCTCTTTTATAGTCACTCAAGGGGGTTACCAGGACCTATTTATTCTGTTAACGTCTTGACAATATGACCATTGCTGCATCTCTGAGTTTGCTGTACTTTGGAGACAGTCTTAAGTGTCTGGCTACTGTGATGGTTCTCTTTTGAACCGAGATATCAAAACAAAACAAAAAAGGGAGGTACACTTTTTGTTTCTGCTTTAAAAAGAAAGAGGAGCTGGATTGGGGTGTGGTTAAGGAGAGAGAAACTCTCTTCTTCCCTGGTTGCATTCTCCTCCAAGGAAGTAGGTGGATCTAACAGATCAGTGCTTCATTTCACATTTTTGGATGTGTTTGAAGATGTTATTTGCAAGTCGATGTATTCCATTTTGGGCTTCACTTACTAGGAATATTTGTGGGTTTAATTATTTTATGTGTATTTGTTCTATACTGTAATTGTAATCTTCTGGTCAGAAATAGGCCGCTGTAATTTACTGGTGCGTAGTCTTTATTTATCCTTGTCATCTAACGTGTAATCTGCATCTCCTCTGTCATGCCAAGTGGTCTGAGAAAAATGGTGCGATTAACAGGCTGTATAATTATTTAAAAGACAGAAAAAGAGAAGGATTTCATGGACTGGATGATGATCTGGAACTGGATGGTACTTTAGGCCTGGAGGGGTGTTTGCAACTAATTCCTGTGAGATGTCTGACTGCTGGGCTTTCCAAGTGAGGTGCTAAATTTGTCGCTTGTACAACGTACTAGCAAAGGGATTTGTGTGCTCCTAAGGTACTAGGACTGAAGAATATCCAGTGGGATGGACCAAGAAGAGATGTGTGTCTTCATGCCATGGATTTCGTCTGCACTTTTCTGACAACTTGGGGGAGGGAGGAGTGGAAGAGTTGAGTACAACACAATAGTATATCTTGCCCAATAAATACACACTGACTTTTTGATGAACAAATGGGATGAGCTCATCGGATGGCAGTATTCTGTGTTGCTCTGATTTGCCACTGTAAAACTGTAGGCTGAAATAGCTGAAGAGATGGTGGAAGTGGGCCTAGTTTGTATTAAAGTGGTGTATTTACCTATCTAGGCTCACTGACCTCTTTATTTCTCTGTTTCAGTGCTTGTTTGAATGAGTGGGGTCCTACTGCTCCTGTCTTTGCTCATGCACAGCCTCATCTATGGCAGGGAGAATGGTTTATGAATCTTTACCAGCTGCCCGAGGGCTGCTCTTTCATTCTCTCAAGATAAAGGTGGTGTCCATGGCTACATCTTGTGTGTGGTGTTTGAGGATGCTGAAAACCTATCGTTTTAGAGCTATGGATTTTCTCTTGATACTTTATAAAACTTTAAAGGGTTAAAAAAAGACCTGAATTGGGTTGTTTGTAGTGTTTCTCGCAGTGTTATGCTGAAGGCAACTACTATTGGTTTCAAAGCAAATTGTACCAAAACTGCAACAATTTGGCTGCAGGCACCCTGAATGCTGAGATCATTGTGTTACTGGAGTGAAGATATTACACCACCAAATCCACCTACAACCTGTTTTGAGAGATATTCCACCAAAAGCAGCCCGTCCCCTGTTGCTGTGCTGGTTTTTTTTTGTGCCTTCCCTGTGTTTGTGCTTTGGCTGTGGTATCCTTCTGATTTTAGCATGAGCAGCTTTTCTCTCATCTGCTCTGGCTTTGATAATCTCATTCTCTTTCAGGCCCGTTCACATTGAGATGCAGGCCTGTGAAGGCACGTGCCACTTCTCCCTGTTGCTTCATCAGGAAGCTTTTCCATGGCAGAAGCACCTTCTTGAGAGCAGTCAAGGCAGTACCTGCCTTGGGAAAATGTAATTGTGACAGTGAGGCCTCCTTCCAGACGGACACCAGGTTAACCAAGATATTTATTGTAAACACTTTGAGTTGGTATCCTACTAGAGGCTGTTTACAGTAGGGGTTAGATCAGGTGCCTGCTTGTAATACTGCTAGAGAGGGGTCACACGAACAACCAAATTGCACATCATGGTTGCTGGTATGTTACAGAGAAACCAGAGGGGTTCAGGTACCACTTTTTTAGGTAAAGGCATATTCTAGTCAGTAAGCAACAGTAACACAGTGATGGGGTGGGGTTGGGTTCTGGAAACATTTAGTAACATGACTCCTGGTAAGAGGGCGAGTCTGCTGAAAGCCCTGGAGGCTCAGCAGTTGGCAAGCTGGTAGCACAGCTAAGGGAAGGGTTTAAGAGGGGAAGCAACAATACCAGAGATGGATATATTGTGGCCAAGAAGCGCCTCCATCCGTCTGAGCTGTGATGGGGAGTTCAGCATGGAGTTAGGGAGTCTGGATCCAGGCTTGGAAGTGGGAGAAGGCTCTAGGTGCAGCCGTCTAGGTGAGATGAGGGTCATGGCAGAGTTGGTTTTTGGCTTCCTGTGTCTCTTTCTAGTCAGGAGAGAGAAGCTGCAACCTGCTCAATGAAGCTGGCCAAGTTGATGTCTCGCTCTGATAAGCCTCCGCACTCGTGGGTGCTCAAAGTGATGTGAACCTAAACCAGACAGACAGATTGACCAAATATTGCTGACAGAGCAGGAGCTGTTTCCCCCCCGTGCTGCAGAGAGTTTGCATCTCGTGAGGCAGGTAGTGCTATGACTTTCTCCAGGGGAATTTGACACTTTGCCTGGTTTTCTGCTTCCTACAGCTTGTCCTGGCTGCAAGCTGTCCCTGCTGCCCCTGCTTTGGGCACAGCAGCCAGCTGTGCCTGCTTTTGTACTCCTTCTCCAAAAGCTTTTCCCCTTATTGCTAACTCTGGTACTGAGTTAAGAAGAGAACGCTGGTGCTGGCCAACAAGCAGCTACTGCTCAGCTGGACAGATAGAAAAAGGGGGAGGAAAAGATCTGGAAATGGTAGCCCAGGGAATAGCATCTGAGGGAGTAGGTTCCACTGACTTGAATAGGACTTGCTGTTCCTCTTTTATGCTTCAAAAAAAGGACCTGCTCCCTCAAGAGCTCCATTTGCTTCCACCATTGCTGTTTCTTACCTTATTGTACACATTGAACCATTCAGGGTGGTGATCCAGTTTTTCTGCCTGTAGAGCCACTCTGGTCATGAAGCCAAAGGCCTGCCCAGTGGAGGAAGTAGAAAAGTTAGCTCTGAACCACTGACCCTGAGATATATTTATTTTTCACCCCATTACTATTACTTTTGCACCTCTTGTTTCTAGGTAACCCAATCAAACGCAAAGCCTTTGGGATGTTCTGTACCTTTGTTGGGGTTTTCTATGAGTATTCCTGGTTTTGGAGTGTGTTTCCCAGACAAAGAGTGTGTTGGGTCAAGCACTTGGGTGCCTTGGGCAGGTTATCTTGCTCAGCCATTCCATTTCAGGAGAAATACAGAGGGGTTTCTTTGGCTGAGCGTTGCAGATGGGACCCCCTGCTCTGCAAACCAGGTCTTCTGCTTTGTAAAACTCTACCACTGATGCTCGTACCCGGTTGAAGTCCTTGAAGTGGAACTCTTTGAAGATGGCGTCTCTGCCTTCCACCTCGTTCCACCCCACGGCTCTCAGGTTTGGCAGCAGCTGCTCCCTCTCCTCCGTGCTCAGCCTGTGGGCTTTTCCTGCCTGACACCACAAAATGGAAAAGGAAGAGGAGCAGCTCAGCGTGGCAGAGGTAGGGTGAAGCAGATGTTCAAAACAGTAGGACACCTCCTGGGTCATAGAATCATAGAATGGTTTGGATTGGAAGGGACCTTTCAAGGTCATCTAGCTCAACCCCCCTGCAGGGAGCAGGGACACCTTCAACTAGAGCAGGTTGCTCAGAGCCCCAGCCAACCCCACCTGGAATGGTTCTAGGGATGGGGCTTAGACCACCTCTCTGGGCAACCTGGGCCAGGGTCTCACCACCCTCTGTCAAATATTTCTTCCCTCTTTCTAGCCTCAGTTTCCCCTTTTTTAGTTTAAAACCATCATCCCTTGTCCTGTTGCACCAGGCGCTGCTGAAATGTCTCTCCCCATCTTTCTTCTAGGCCCCTTTAAGTACTGAAAGGCCACCATAAGGTCTCCCAGGAACCTTCTCTTCTCCAGGCTGCACAACCCTGACTCTCTCAGCCAGGCTTCACAGAAGAAGTGTTTCAGCCCTTGGCTGGTATTTGTGGCCTCCTCTGGCACCTGCTTTAATAAGTCATGTCCTTGTGCTGAAGACTCCAGAGCTGTACCCAGCACTGCAGGTGGAGTCTCAGCAGAGCTGAGGGACAGAATCATCTCCCTTGGAAGTTTTATGGGATCATGGGCCCATGGAGGCAGCTGTGGACTGGGCTGGAGGGTTAGAGCATGCATGCAGACCTGAATTTGGGGGATGCTGATGACAGGGGATATTGATGATGTCCCCTGCTTCCTGCACATACCTAGATCAAGTGAAGTCCAGCTTGTCATTTCTGTCCTCTGACCTGCAACACTTACCACCCAACCAGTGTGTGTGTGTGTATATTTGTTATAACCTCAGGTACTAAGAAATGATGGCTGTGTGAGGTTGAGCTCACAAATACATTGCATACAATTTTCTGAGAAAAAAAACAAATCCTGAAAATGTGATGGCTTCTAAAACTGAGAAGACTTGCTTGCTTTTGAGGTCCATGAAGTACCTTCCTGAAGCTGGAGGGCTTTATTTGCAGGTCATCTGCAGTGGAAGGAGGCAGAAATGGTATGAATCAGAGACCCGAGTCACACTAAATGGCAGTTCAGCCCTTTTCAATCTCCCTTACCTTATGATGGAGCTTAAGAGGCTGTTTCTGTCTCCAAGTAACAAAGGGCAGAGGGAGGGATTGTGATTTAGCATTGTCCTCTGCTCTTTGGCAAAGCTGCTGCTGTTTGCTTTTTAAAGGCAGGGGGCAGTTTTTGTCGTTGAGGAGCAAACAGGGGCAAAGATGAAACTCAAATGTGTATTCCTTGGGGATGGGGGGTACCTGACCCAGCGTGTCTTCCAGCTCAGCAGGGAATGCAGGAGGGAATGCCAAGGGGTATTGCTCTGTCTGAAAGGTCATGTTCTGGCAGTGAAGATTCTCTCCTACAGGGTGATCTGATCTTTTGAGTTGGTGAGGATTGTTATTTCTCAACTACAAAGGCCAACACCTCTTTGCAATTTGTTTTCTTTTATATGCTGTAGAGCGAAGCGTGGCAAGTTAGGTATGAGTGTCTCAAATGTGACCTCTCATTTCTTGTGGGTGTTTGGGCAGCAGCCCCACAAGAGGCTTGAGCATCGATGCTCAGAAGCAGCATCTTAAACAGCCAAGCAGCTACAGGCAAATCATCCTTTCCTGTAGTTTACCTACACACATGCTGTACAAACCCAAAGAGGCAGCCAGGGAGCGGATGTTTTTGCAGGTTCCTTGGTTTTGCACGTTTGGAGCAAGATTGGAAAGATTATGCCCCGGTCCCCTGCTGCGGGGTCTGCTCAGCCCTCAGGTTGCGTGGGTGCCTACTTCCCTGCACAGCAGTGCCACTTTGGCTGCCCACCTGCCAGCCCTGGCTCCGCCACCCCCTCGCTGATGTCAGCCCCGTCCCTTCCCCGGCTCTGGCTTTGGAGGGAGGGTGGTGAGTAAACACGGCTCAGCACAATAAACCCTCAGCCGTTGCCCTTCCGTGCCGATGGCGTGATAAGCCGGGCGCGGGTAGCTTAGCAACTGGGCAAGGTGGGGATGGAGGCTGGCTCTGCAGGGGCTGCTGGCAGGGGGCACCTGTGGCTGCTGTCTGCGGCGACCCTGGGGACGGGGCAGCGGCTGCACGGGGTGTTGCAACCGTGGGCGGAAACCTCCGCGGAGGTGTGTGTGCTCAGGAGAGGAAAGGCCGTGTAAAGCTGGAGCTGTTGCTTCCCTGGCACAGTGGGGTATAGACACAGGGGGTTGGGTTCCCAGCCAGCCCTGTGCCTCGGGCAGAGCAAGAAACCAAGCTGCTTGGGAGGGACGTGGCTTAATTGTTCTCTGAACCCTTTTTTGCTTCGTGACTATGCAGGAGGATGGGCCCCGGGGCTTTTTCCAGGCCCAGCTCCTCTCTCTGAGCCCAGCACCAGTGGGAGATGTGACCAGGCTGAGGTTTGCCAGTGGACCACACAAAAGCCAGCTCCTCTGGCTGTGTTTTGTGATCATAGAGTCATAGAATTGCTTTGGTTGAAAAAACCCTTTAAGATCATTGAGCCCAACCATTGCAGGGCGCCATCCGTACCCTCCACCTGGCTCCCTTCCCTTTCCCTCCTTCTGCACCCCAGCACATTGGCCAGCCTGCTGCTTTTGTTAGTGCTTCCATGTGCAGTTACTCCTTTAAAACACACTCTTCTCATTAGGGAAATTTAATTATTTTGTTTTCTTTTGCTGATTCTCAGCTGCCAAAGCATGGGGACTTTTTCTTTTTTTTCTGCTAGCAGGAAACCAAGGAGACGTGTTGTTCAACTGTAGGAAAGGAACCAGCCTGGGAAACTGGGAGAACTTTAGGCTTTCTGGAGGTGAAACAGCCCTCTCTGCTCAAAGTAACATCTTCTCTTTTAGAATCAGAAAATGACAGAATTACTTTTGTTGGGCGAGACCTTTAAAATCAAGTCCAACCGTTAACCCAGCACTGCCAGACCACCACTAACCCATGTCCCTCAGCACCACATCCTCATGGCTTTGAAACACCTCCAGGGATGGGGACTCCACCATTGCCCTGGGCAGCCTGGGACAGGCCTGGAGAACCCTCCTTTTGGGGAAGACATTTTCCCTCATGTCCAATCTAAACCTCCCCTGGCACAACTTGAGGCCGTTTCATCTTGTCCTATCACTTGTTCCCTGGGAGAAGAGCCTGTCCCCCACCTGGCTCCAGCCTCCTGTCAGGGAGTTGTGCAGAGCCAGAAGCTCTCTGCTGAGCCACCTTCTCTCCAGGCTCAACACCCCCAGGTCCCTCAGCCGCTCCTCACATGACTTGTCGCCTAGGAGAAGGCCGAGGGGACAGCCCTGGTGTGAGCGGGACCTGCGGGCAGGGCTGCAATAGGAGGTGTGCCACCAGGCCCAGGGCCTGTCGCTCCTCTCCTCTCCTCCGCCGTGCGAAGCCGATTTCCAGGGGGGCTCGTGCAGGGTTTGTCTGGGGGTGCCGCTGGCAGCAGCGCCTTGCCTGGGACCCCTTCCCTCCCCTGGCGGAGGAGCCGGGCCCGGAGAGCCCCGGCTCTGGGAGTGGAGCGGGGCCGCGGCGCTGCCCGCGTTACTCATTAACCGCAGCTCCTTTCTCCCTTCTCCGCCGGCCCTCGCA